AAGTTCAATTTAGTCAGAATTCAGAGAAAAAAGTCAGAATTCTCACTTTTTTCACCTATTAAACTGAAATAATATTAAAAAAATCAGTTAACATTTTTTTATTTTTCAGTGGCCCTAATCCTCTTCAGTAATTAACAATATATCCCTTCACAATAAAAGATTTCGCTTTTCTGAAGAGAAAATTACTTTTTATCCATAAACGCTTTTGGCTTTTAAACAATGACTCCCACCAAACGTCAGATTAAAAGTTCCATAAATATACTTATATTTAATAGGCGCTACCTATTATTGTCATTTTTTTATTTTCAAAGTCTGTTAGTTGCTCCAAAATAAAAGCATTCTACTTAAATGTAATTCAAAGTTCTTTAGAAATAAAAATAAAAATATTTTATTTAAAACACTAAAAGGCAGTATTGTATTTCAAAATAAAAGTCCCTTGTTTTAGCTTTAGCTAATTTATTTTAATTTATTTCACTTAAAAAGTTCAGGTTTGATTCCTCTTAATAATTCAGATAATAAATGGACTGAATTTATAGAGCTTTCCAGTCTGACCACTTAGTGCTTCACGCTGTTGCCACGTTGACCCAGACACCAACTCAAACATGGACATTTATTCACCAATACGCAAATCGATAGGCACCATGGGGTTAAGTGCCTTGCCCAGAGGCACACTGGCATGTGACAGAACAGCTGGAATTCAACCTATAACTTTCAGCTTCTCTTTCCACTGAGCCACATTAATCTGAGTTACAGTAGATCTAATCCCAGTAGATCTAATCCCCTCATTTCCAGTTTTTATTTCTGGTTGCTGCACCTTAAACATCCGATCTTTTATTATGAAAGTCTGTCTTTCTTTTCAAACTATACTAAATGAATTTCGTGTTTTTTCAATCAAAGCTTCCTGGATGTTTTCAAAGCAGTTTTCATGCAACTAATTCAATCTTCTGTTGTTCTTCAACATTTAAATCTCCTAATGGCATTTCAAAATAAAAGCCACTCAGCTGCTAATCGACCAAATCCATCAGGGCCCAGAGAAATAATAAAACCATTTCACTTTTGCCTTAAGATTTTCCATTACCTCCCAATTTAGATTTCCACCTCATGAACAAACGACTAACTTACTGCCATGAACTCCCCTCTAGGGGCCGTTGGATCTTAGCGCCCGCTGTACTTCCGTAATGTTCTACCCTTCGCTTATCGTCCATAAACTCCCTCAGCTGTTTGCGTTTTTTACAGCCAATTTAAAGCCTGTTTGTAGGCAGTGACGGCACATTTAACTGAAGCAGCGTCTGAAGGAGCTTCTCCGCCTCGGGGAGCGTCGGGTTGTTACCGACCGCGGCTGTCTGCTTCAGACACTGATTTGGAGTTTGATCAGTAAAGACGGCTGGAGTAGCTCAGAAACTTGTGGATGGACAGCAGTGACATTTGTTCAGCTTGGCTCCACCATTTAGACGGTTTATATAAGCTCTGTTATAATCAGAGAGCCTAGGAGCTCCGTGATGACGACACTTTGATTAAATATGGAATCATTCTGTGGGACAAAAGTGGAATTTATGGCTCAATTTTCCAAAGATTCTTCATTCAGGATGTTGGTGTCTCTGATTAGATCAGTCTTCGTGTTTCCAATATCAAATATTGTTGGTGTGGAGTAAAAAATGTTGAGGTATGTCTGTTCTTAGCCTCACAGGCTCCAAACGAAGGTCATGAGGAGATATTAACCTAACAGGAACGGCCTTCATGAACTCAAGTTGTTTTTCCTCCAAATGTTCAAGTGTGAGAAAGTTCTTTAAGCATTGGGTGGGTTGGTTCCCCTGTGGGAAGTGTGTGTTTTGGGATTTTTGTAAAGTTCTATCTCTCCGTCTGAGGATGTTAAATAGATTTGAACCTTTTTTCTTGCCAGAAATGCCACCTCAGCGTGCTAACTCCGCATTGGTATTGGTTGGAAATGGTAAACCAGTGCGTAATCTCAAAAAGTCTCAGCTTTATGATGGACTTTCTTTAATCCCCTCGAATCCAAACCTTACATACTGAAAAAGATGTCCTCAGTAACGATTTAAATCCATACCTCCAGGCATGTTGCCTATCATTAACGTTCCTCTGTGCTGCTGGAACCACCAACAAGGTTTAACCATCTAGAAACACACTGCCAGACTGTTGAGGTGGTCCTCCTTGTTCTTTAACCTATCTGCATTGGGTTATGCACCAGTCCCGCAGCATGATGCTTCCGCCACCGTGCTTGGCAGCTGGCAGCATGTTCTTAGGTATCAAAATCTCACTTTGACTTGTCTGGTTGGGAAGAAAACAGCTTTAGGTTTTCCTCCAACAGCAATAAAACTTTTCTCCAGGAGACATTGGGCTGAGGTGAGGTTTGATTTCAATTCTATTCAGTTTTATTCTATAGCGCACTTTATAGTTCACCAGATCATTGCGACAGTGGAGAGGAAAAACTCCCTTTGAACAGGAAGAAACCTCCAGCAGAACCAGGCTCAGTGTGAGCGGCCATCTGCTGAGGCCCACTGAGGTTCAAGGAGACAGAAGCAGACATAGAAAAAGAAGCATAGATACAAAAGGCAACCAGCTCCACAGGCGGCCCCGTCCAGGAAACACACAGCCAGGCAGACGAGCTCCGAGCCAGCTCCCATGTCAGAGGATGAAGAGAGCACATCCAGTTAGTCACAGTCAGAGAAACAGGACTACACTGGAAAACAGTTCATATGAGGGATCAGGTTCAATTCTAGGATCCAGCTGAATATTCCAACAGGAAAACAAACCCGGAAACCAGTTCTAACTGGTTCTGGGATGTTAAAACGTAGGGAGGATGCTTCAGAGCCGAACCAGAGGCAGGAAACCGTCTAACTTTAAGGAACTCTCCTAATTCAGCCAAGAAGCGTCATCAAAGTATAATTTTTGTCATAATTAGCAGAAATACACTATTTAAAAAAAAACAAAATGAACTTCAAACGTTCAAATCAGAATGAAAAAACTAATATTTAATATTTTCTGACTATTTAGTTCCTGTTTTTTTTCTTTTATTGTGAAAATAATCAACAGCTTTTTACTGACTTTGATTTCAGTCCATTTTCTTCCATTGTTCGGTTTCCTCATTAATACCTGAAAACAAAAAAAACTTTCTAAATATGTTTTGATTTGATTTTCCTCTCAAATTACTGACCTGGAATACAAAATAGTTTTTTTCCCCTTTATTTTGTTTTACATGAATAATCTCGGAGTGAAAAACAATAACTCATAAAGAGGGAAACAGAAAGACTGTCTGCTTTAATCAGCTGATAATGAGTCCTCTGACGCCTCGTTAATTAGACGCCACCGCTCCCTTCCGCCTTGATGTAAAACATGGCTGCTTCTCTAATCAATACAACCATTCGCCCAAATGTTTTTGACATTTTTGAATTTATACAAAGAAACGGAGTTAATTAGAGACCCGACCTCCTTTATTCACATTTCATCGAGTCACAAACAAACATCGACGTCTTTAATTCAGGTTTTCTATCATAAACCAACCTGGTAAATATTAGATTGATGAACTTTGACCTCCCTCTCTCTGCAGAAGTTAGAAAAATCCCCTCAGCATGATGTCACCACCACCGTGTTTCAGCTTATATGGTAAGAATCCTGGACTAATAGTTCAGTTCAGCCTTTTAATTAGTAAAGTGAGTAAAAACCAAACATCATTTGGCTTCAAATTCACAATGATTCACTATTTTCTGTTGGTCTAGTTCTCTAGATCCATAGAAAATAGCCTAAAGTGGTAAAGAATGCTATGTACAGGAGAGGGATTTACCATTAGGGAAAACTAGGCAGTGGCCTAGGGGCCCAAGTTCCTGGAGGCCCCTTCATCTCTGTCTAATACAACTATTCCTTATTATGGATCAGTCCCTCCCCCCTTCAGTGTCCACCATATTGGATCAGTCCATTTGCTGCACAAACCATGCAAAGAGCAGTGTTGCCAACTTAGCGCTTTAGTCACTATATTTAGCCACTTTTCAGACCCCTCTAGCACTTTAATTTCTAAAAAGCTCCTAGCGCCAAATCTAGAGACTTTTTTCTGCTACTGGAGACTTTGGAGACAACATCTAAAAGCAGCGATCTCTGCTCTCCAGAGCGAGTAGATTGGTAACCCCGCCTCCTGCTCTCCTCTATCTTAAAGTCAGAATGCTGAGAATTCTTTATTATTTAAACTAATCAAGGTTATTAAAACATAGAGAGGAAAACAAGAAGAAAAGGGACAAGAAGAGAGGGACACAACCTAGAACAGATAATGGATGTCTATTCTATTAACATTTATCTATCTGGAGAATGGGGCTGTTTGATGTCTTCTCCATTCAGAGGGCCCCCTGCCTGTCTTTGCCTAGGGCCTTAAATTTCTTAAATCTGCCCCTGTGATGTGAGGTTGACTCTATATCTATAGTTCTACTAGCAGCAAAGAACAGTCTGTACGTTGCATAGATACCTGTAAGGTGTGCACACCGCCCTACAGTCATTATGGGGGGGTGAATGCCTGGATAGCAGAGGCGATGAACGCTTCCTGTAGTCGGTCCTTTATTCATTAAATAATTCAATAATCTGATTTGTCCTGTTTTCTGGGTTTGATCCTGATATAAATCTGGATAATAATGGACTGATCCACTGTGACAGCTGATCAGCCCCCCCAGGACCCCTACAGGGGGGGGGTCCTGGGGGGGGCTGCAAGTTCTGCCTTTACAAAAAAAAAAAAAGAAATGAATACACATCACATTACATCACACACATGCTCAGAGAGCCAGTGGGGCCTTCCCACAATCCTCCTTGGTCGGACCCTCCACCCCCAATACACACTCACTCACGCGTGGATGTGCACGTGCACGCGCCTCAGTGGTGCTGAAGGGACACACACACACACACACACACACACACACACACAGAGTCCATGAATGGGCGGATGTTGGAGCATCATGGCGACACTCTCGCATGCACGCGCCCATACGCACGCGCTCACACCCCACCTGCGGTCGCCAGGCCGTCCTGGCCCGCTTCTCCTCCTCCTTCTGCTGGATTCATCCTCCTCCTCCTCCTGCTCCTCCTCTCTCCTCCGTTATGTTCCGTCGGTCGCTCCGCTCCTCTCGCCTCCTCCCTGCCTACCCCTCCATCCCCGCAGCCTCACATCAGATCGGGTCGGTACCAGCAGCGGGCTCCGGTGCGCGGCTCGGATGCGTTCCTCTCCTCCCGGTACCGATCAGGCCGTCAGTGCTCCTCCTGCTCCGCCTGCTCCTCCTGCTGCTCTTACGTTACCGTGATCCCGCGCAGCATCGCATCACATCACGTCACCGTCAGTGGGAGCGTTCCTGGTGCCGTTCCTGGTACCGTGGAGCCCAGGCAGGCAGGCAGGCAGGCCGGGTCTCCCCTCTCGGTGTCTCCTGCGGCCGCTCGGTGCGCTCCAGCACGCAGGCGCACTGGAGGCGGAGAGGCGCTGCAGCATCTGCTGCGCACCGACACACACACACACACACACACCACCTGCAGCCGTTACTACACGTTACCAGCGTTACTATCAACACAGGGAGTCTGACGTCACCAGCTGACTGACTGATAAAATATAATAATAATCATTTATTTATTTTAAGGTGATCTACTGGCAGTGAAGTCAAATTAAGCCTTTGCTCTGAGGCTCATTTTTAGTTCATTGTTCAGCAGGATGTATCAGTTTATTTCCTGTTTTATTGTAAATAAATTACTTTAAGCAGAAAAATAAAGTATAATCAAACATATGAGGTTAATGTGTCACAAACAAGGTGCTGAGATCTAAACTAAAGGATGGAAACAGCAGAGA